GGATCTAATTTCCGTGATTTAATGAAAATTATAATTGTTTTGATGTTTTAATGTTTAGGTATTTTTGAAAATAGAAATTAAAAAAGACCGACATACTTGTGATGGCACCCATCACCAAGCTGCACCAACAACTATTGTTGGTGAGAAGTTAGGAGGGTAGGATGTACAGGGAAAATTAATTTGTTGCATCTATAAGCAACGATAAATCATTGCTTACTAAAAACGCTTCTGAGCGGAGTTCAGTTGATAGTGATGTTTTGTTGACAATATAAATGTCATATTATGGTAAAATAATTAGATAGGCTTTGTATATTTTTTTTAATAATGTACCGATTTCTCCGTTTTTCCACGTTTTTTCCGGTTTTTCATATTTGTTGGGGAAACTATTGGGAAAATCGAAAAATTATCTTTTTAAAGTACTTTCCTAGTCAGATTTCATAGTATTTTACTAATACATTTCCCGTTTTTCTCATTTTTTCCCTTTTATGGGAAAAACTGCCAGGAAAATCAAAAAATGACCTACCTAAATTACCACCTCAAGAAAATTTACTTTTAGAAAAGGGTCTACATCGTATACATCGGTTTAAGCTCTCTGGTTAAAAAAGTGTCCACGTAAAATAAAAAAAAATAAACATCTTTGTAAAACCAATTCATTCTTTTCTACACTCAGAATCTAAAATATATACATTTTCTAAATATTCTGTTGTAATCTCACGATGGAATAACGTGTTTATAATTAATGTCGGATTAATTATTTGGCGATTAACTTCATAGTATTGGCTGCTGTGTTGTTGGGACCAATTTTGAACCTTTCACCTTTCAGTACCTATATAGTTGCGGTGTAGGTTTTGTCAATTATAATATTGTTATGCGGTTATGTATTGTTTGTTGCTAATTGCTGCATTACATCTGCACAGTCCTCGTAATACGATATACTAAACATCGAACACGCGTCTAACGAAATGCCAAATGCGACCATTTACCACCCAGCTATATTTATAATAGAATATTGAAATTCGTAATCAACGTAGTACTATTTGTCAATCGTTACCTTGTCTATAGGTATCTACTACGAGCGTGGAATATTATGTTGAAAACCGATCGATATCGTTCGGAACCGATATCACGTAGGTATACCAAAAACGTGTGTTCCCCTTCAATGTACGTTCAAATCTAGTTATATGTCAGGCCAATATTCGATTATATTTTTTTTCTCTTGTTAAACGTAAATAAAATCTTTTCAATATACCCCGGTAGTCTGTACTAACTACAATAACACACTATATCGCACTATAAATACGTCATACACATTCAATCATTTTTCATTCATCGTTTTTATTTCCGGTTACAGGTTATTGATATTTCATAGTTATTCAATTAATGAGAAACATAGATCCTTTTTTAAGCCTTTTGAAAAAACCGTTTTATACAAGAGGTATTCGTCACTTTGTGGCTTTCAATCTTTATCAGTGGTATCTAAAAATAAAAAAAAATCGTTAAATTAAAATATTTTGTTAATTTACAAATCAACAGTTTTATAACGGTGGGGAATTAATTTACTAAAATCGGAGAGTATCTTCGGTACTATACCGTTATAGTTTAGAAGAACACATATATGAATATTTGTGCCTATGCAGTATTAGTTTTAGGTTTCTAACACAAGTTTAGAACACAGTTAGGTTGGTCTTATCGTTGTGTCCATCTGTATAGTTACTAATTTATGGTTACAGTTCTTGATTTGGTTGGAAAGGAGATTATAATATTATTCGTAAAATTATTATTATTATAATACATTATTACCATCATTATTATAAATACGAGTATTAAATATAAATTCATACTAGCTAGTATCAAAAAAGTAGGTAAGTATCGATACATAGGTACTTGAAGAATTTTAAAAATGTTTTGTCAATTATTCACAAGCATAATATGTTTCCAAATGTGTATGAAATTATAGTTTATTGTTTTAAGTACCTACTTATGTTTAAAAATCGGGAACCTTGCGTGCTCGCAGGGTTCGCTTTACTAACTTGTTTTATTATTATTGTTATTAGACTTTAAAATATTATTCGATTCGTTCTTGTGCAGGAATATAGTGCTGTAATGTTTTTGGCGTTACAGTGTTAATAGCATTTACTGTTGCGAAAAAGGTCATTATATTTTATTCGGTACTTATATCCTTTAGAGTTTATATCCATGAACTAATGCATTACGATAAAGTGTCTTAAGTTTATTTGAACTCTTTTTAAATTATCCTTATTTAAATTATCCCAAAATTATATTTTTAAATTTCAATTATCATTGTACAGCGTAGTTATATATTACAGCGACTATACACTATTATACACTAGAAATCGCGTTAAATCATTCTGTAAAAATATTCGCTGCAAATAAAATTGAATCGTCATTATGACAATTACCCGGGATTAAGGCATTGCCCAATAGCATTAGTTTTTGTAACTTTATGTGTATAGCGCGTAAAGTTTCTTAAAAGTCATTAAAGTGTTATGTCATATGCTATATTCTGCGAGTTTCGTAAAGTTTTGTACTTTTTTGTTTTTTTTTTTGTATGTAAATGCTTTGTTTCTGTTTATATTATATACATACATATAAATTGTACATATTTAAACATTTTCTTTTATATTATATTATATGGACCGTATGCGTCAGTATTATTTGTGTTATTTGATAATACCGTTTAAAAAAAATTTAGGTGTATATATTCAAACATAATATACCTAATTATTATTCGATTTTTTTCTACCAGAAATCATACTCAGACTTTCATTTCTAAAATATAATGTTTTCTACAGTTGGTGCGTATAAATTAGGTTTTGAATTTTCCTTATAGGTTTTTTAAACAGTTGAAAAAAATCGAGAAGAAATGTAGGAAAATAGCAAAGATTACAGCATTAAAAGTTTAATTATTTTAGATTTTGTTTCTTTTGTTTGTAATTTTTACAGAATACTAATATTAGCCTATTCTAAACGCCGTAAAATGTTCAAAACATTCTGGCGCTAATTTTTTTTTTAGCTATTTTTAGGCATGTGATATTTATGATTTTTATTATACCTCTCTTTATATATTCGTATTCAGGGGCGAACCTATGGTGTATTTTTAGGAGGGTTTGGAGTGAATTTTACCGACTTCCAAGAACAAAATTTGGCGACTGTATACACTGACGACTGGTATTGTATACTATAATATCTGCCGACTGTTATTAGCTATTACAACTTTAGTTGATTTACAACAATCGTTAGTTCAAGGAAAAACTTATTAATAAAAAAATAAAAATTTTAGGTATTATAGGCCTTTTGAATAGCTATAAAATGCCGACTGGAAATTACAGTTGCCGACACTAGGGGGGTGTAATCCCCCTAAGACCGCCCCTGTTCGTGTTATACATTTATACTGCATATTTTTATTTTAAATCCCTGTCCGGGCGCCATGTAATGATATATACAATATGGTATGTATCATAATATAATATTATCTACACTACATTTTATTATAGTGGACATCACTTTATTAGTTTATAAGTCAATTTTGATTAATACTAATAGTATGTATTATAGTTAAATATCTCATATAATAATAAAACATGATAATGAGAACCGGACAACACCACTCCACTATTTTCCCCTTTCCTTTCTCATAAGCGACACCTCCATTCATTCGGCCACTGGATCCTGCCTTGGCGACTGGTCATCTTTTTCGTCTTCCCGCGAGTGCGCGTTGTTCCGGCTTCTAACGTTCCGATATCATCATTTTTAATTTAATCAAGTGTTTATTTTATCATTCCTACTACGTATTTCCATCAATATAACAAATAAATATAATTATACCTGTATTCAAACTCAACATTGTTGCTGATGATACTCCGTTCAGGATAGGTAAGTATATTATTGTTACCCTTCATAATGTATATCTTATGTTAATTGTTTCTTATCGTCGTAGGCCGTAATTGGTAATCTAAGTGACTAGTGGGTATACATTCATTTATTTTGATTATTATTTTATTACACATCTAATATCAATAAATGTAAGTACCTATTAAATCAATGACATTGAACTAGAAAAACAACTACATATTTATAATAATTTATTTTGTGTGTATCAATTATTGAATGCAATTGAATAGGTCACATATAATTACAACTTGAATTTTATAAACAGTATTTCAGTGAAAATTTCGTGCGTGAAAGGACAATCAGCTTGTAATAGTTTTCTTTTTGATTTCAACGATTATTGTAGACCACCCTATTGTAGATCAACGTGCGGCAATTGAACAGAGTGTAAGCTTTAGGCCACTATCGATAATAACGTGAAACAAGTTAAAATTCAATACGGACAATCATTATTATATTACGAAATATTAATTTATGATCATGGAACCCATTGGTCAATCAATAAAGGAAATTAATTTTACAATGTTACGAGTTGTGTTTTTAGCGAATGAACTATAAATCAGTTATACAATTTCGTTCGTATTTTTCCGTTAACGTATAAGCGTATTTTTAAATAATAATTTCGGTGATTTTTTTAATAGATGTTTCTATAATTTTTTGATGAATTGCAAACAATTAATGAATACAATAAAAATTGCATAGATATACTACACAATCTTATACACACATTAACCTGATTAATGCATTATACGAAAATGCTGTTTTAAAACGATTTATATCATTGGAAATCAAAACATACTTCATGATATTGAAAAATAGTGAGCAATTACCCGAATTTAAGGAAATAGATGCAGTTATAATTCAAGAAATTCTTGAAGAAATTAATTCAATTCAACGTTTTTTGTCAGCGTATTTTGATCATCACCTTACGACGAAATAAATTCGCTATTTTATAATTATTTAACAACCATTAATAATATAGAAACTACCAATAATTTGATAAATATAATCAGTACAAATTCATTTTTTGATCTGAATTCGGGCTCCGACGGTTGCACAGTAAACAAAATGTTTTTAGAAAATATTGTGCAATGTCTTCAACGGAAGACATAATTTCGTTCGATATCGCCAATACTCAATTGAAAATTACGTCCACCAAATATATATCAATTAAAGATATTTGGGCACAAATCAGACCGTTGTACGACATTGAAAACATATTCTGGTATCCTGATTCCGTGATAATCGCGATCGTGATATTAATATTCCATGAAATACTCAACGTGTTTATACAAACTAATAGCTTTTTATGGCGGTCAAATATCAGTTTAAATAAATAAATTAATAGCAAAATATTCTTTGATACGTCGTATCATTTTATTGAATTTATCTACACCTTTGGTTAAAGGTTTTGAATTCTTATGCAAGTGGGCGTACAATTTAAATCATAATGCTATCACAGAAATTAAAGAATTTGACGACAAAATGGAGGATATTGAATTATTCCAATTTGTTACTGTTAATAAAGTAATCGATGAAGATGAAGATGATAATGAATTTTAATTATTTTATAGTTAACGAAGAAATTGTGGTAATTCAATCGATTGCGTATAGCAATTGTTTTAATGCAATGTATCACTCCGTAAAATATGGGTTACAATGTACAATCCAACCATTTAAACAAATTTAAATTAGTTTAATTAATTATTGGCTATTACAGACAAAACGGAAAACCCAGTCAAACCAGTATACGTTTAATACAATTTATCTAAATAAACGTTATTTTGATGATAGGTTTATCCAATATAATTATAGTACCTATAATATTAATATACGTCTTAACACTCTTAACGTATATTCATTTACTCGCCGTTTTTTTAAACGGCAATAGAGTAGACATGATGGCATTATGCGGTTTCATTTTTTTTAGATTTTGTTGTAATTCGATTAAAAATAATCGTAATGAACTGAAAGTTTTAAAGAATATTATTATATTATTTTTCTATTAGAATTGGTAAAATTTTCAAAATAAATTACCATCTTTTTTCTGGTATTTTTTGAGCTATTTATGACCATTTAATATTTTCCAGTTTTTAGATTAAATGGTTTCGGCTTAAATGCTTAAATGCATTAAAATTGTACACGATAATCATCATAAGTTGCACATTAAAAAACAAACGGACATGCTTCGCACGATGGGTGGACCACTGTTGTAGGTGAGAAATTAGGAAGCTAGAAAGGAAATTTAATTAAAATGTATAACTGTACTCAAATTAACTGTACGCAGATTAATCATTGCTAACGAAAAATGATTCTTTGCTGATTTCGGTTATACATGTTTTGACGGGCCATAATATTTACGATTTTAAAATAATATATTTTGTAAATATTCCCGTTTTTTTCACTGCTGGAAAAATAAAAAAATGACTTTCTTAAAGTTCCATTTCAGTTAAATTTGTTTTCAAAAAAAGTATTACACTTGAAGATGAAAGCAAAATTTCCTTTAGGAAAGTTGTTTACAGATAGAATAAAAGTACATACATACAAATTCTGATTATTTAATTATTCGTACAACATTGTCAGTAAGAAAAATAAGTAATGGCTGAGTGAGAAAAAAATATAATCCAAAACAATTGTATTATAATGAAAAACTAATATGATTTCATAAAAATTGAGTTTGATATTTCAATAAGTTTCAACTCCTAAAAAAATTCTTAGCGATAAAAATGACAAGAATCTGCTTAATTAATTTGAAGAAAATCTCAATAATCACTCTGGAAAAAAAAATGAATTCCCTAAAGTACCATCCCAGTCAGATCTCCTTTCTTATAAAAGTGCTATACTTGAAAATCGGAACAAATTTAGTAGTAGAAGAAAAGTTGTTTACAGAAAAAAAAAAGTAAACATCATTGTAAAACGAATATATTTCTCGCTCCACTCGGAATTTAAAAAAAGTAGATTGTAATGAAGTCGTTTTTTTAAATGCTATTTCAAGTTCAAATATTGACGAAATTTCAGAAAAAAAAAATCAATAAATAAATAAATTGTGTATATCTTACCTTTCCAACTTTTTGTTTTTTTAGTTTGCCAAATTAGTCATACTCAATAAAAACTTCTCAGGTATGTCACTGCAGGAAGAACGTATGATAATTAAAATTTAATTTTGTATTGATTGTTTATGTGCATTTCTTTAGGTATATCAATTATGTAACTATATTATAGTACGCTTATTCAATTATTATAATTATTTAGGTATGCATTAGAATTTAGACACCACAATTGAAATTCATTAGATGTTTACGCAAGATTCTTCTGTTTTTATGAGGTATTATTATGTAATCTGGATTTCGTAAATGTCAATAGCATATCCAAGAGGGGAGGGGTTAAGGTGAATCTTTCCATAACCCAAGTTTTGAAAAAAATAATTTACTAAAATAATTTAAAATTTTTGTCACTATACTACGTAAATTTGAACGACCCTTCCCCCATAAAATAATCCTGGGTACGCACCTGGTCAATATATATTATTTTTGTATTTCCTATGAAGGATAGAATAATGTTTAAATTAATTTCTATATTTTGTGTACGACGGATAGGAGTCGTTATATTTTTTATTTTTTATATTTACTCCCCCGGAGACATATGTTCGTGTAGGAAAAATTCGAGTTTCATAAATTTATATTTTTATAACGTTATCGTATCTGTTTAAAGTTTTATCCTTTACGAAATAGTTTTTTTATTTTTTCGTTGACGTCTAAACCAGAAATCGCCGCCCTACCTTTCCGGGATCCCAAGTAAACGTTTTTTCTTCTCAGAAATTTGCATGGTAAACGCCGTTCACAGTGTATTATTTATGCAAATAGAACGTGACATAAACCTGTGAAGTATACATAAAAAAAAAAAGAAGTAAAAATAATCAATCACCCAAAAGAAAATGTACTCGGTATGTCGAAGAAATCCCGGACAAAAGCACAGGAAACAATTTTTTTTAGTTTCTAAGCTAAGCAATTGGTTTAAATAGGCTTTTTTTCCGACTTAAATGCTTAAAATATTCGTTCTGTTAACAACTCATTTATTAGACATTTTGCTTCTATCCTCAAATTTAGGGTTGGTTAATGTTAATTAATTTTGCCTAGTTGGTACATTTAGCAGGTTTTTTTTTTTATTTTCCTCGATTAGTTTTCTTAATATTTGGGAAATATAATAGGAAAAACCGAGACATTTATGAAATAACGATTTTTGTTTTTTGTGTGCTGAGTATACTAGAATTTTTGCTCCAATTAATAAATAACAAGATACCTTTTTTAATTCATTTTGAATCTAGTTGGTATATTGAGAGGGTGTTATTTAATTTTCTTAATTAGTTTTCTTAATAATTAGTAAAAAAAACAGAAAAAACCGTATTCAAAATGAGGAAATTTATACAATATCGATTCTGTTATTTTTGTCAAATTTCCCCCCAAAAAATTGAGACTTATGCATTGTATTGTGTCTGTTATGTATTTATATTTTTTTTTTTCGGTACATTTGGGCACTTTTAGTGACCCTATGTCGGTTTGTATGTTAATAAAAATTTTGAGTAATTGGCAATAATCATTAATATATATTTATATAAATATAATATTAATATAGCTGTATTACTCGGCTTCACCCGTGGACAGTTTTGTAACGTGAAATACATTTAATATTATTTTATATTTCATTAGGTTCTTTTCTTTCGTCCATGTTGCCAACCTTTAAATTTGTTTTTATTTCATCCGTGTTACTATGGTAATCTATACCAATAAATTTTATACGTGTTACTAGGGCTGGCGTTACGATTTCCGAGGTCATGGATAAATTTATTTTTGTGAGACTTTTTTTTCAGCTTACCACTTATTTTACCTAATAATTGTATTAATACCCAACGCTTGGCTACGGTCGGAAATACTGTTTGATGAGACAACGCGTGTATACATGTTTTTCCCAAAAATATCGTTACATTTCTAAAAATAAATGTATTTTTTCAGTTTTACGCCCATTATAATTATGCTACTCTTTGATATGGGTTTACAAGTGCGGGGCCTCTGAAAACCTAAGGCCCTGAACGTAAGTTCCACTTGCCCTACCCTGACATTGACCCCGCGTGTTACTATAGTAATCCATACAAATACATAAATAATAAATCTCTTTATAATTTTTTATATGCGTATACGTCGATTATTTTAAAAATTAATAACTCAATTGTTTATAACATATTGACGATGAATTATTATTATTATTAATCAATCCACTTAAACGTAATATTTTTTAAAATCCTTTCTTATTGCACATTTATTGTATCAGAGGAACCACTATTCCAAATTTTAAGTTCGTAGGTTGTGTAGTTTTTAAGATATAGCGATCGGTGAGTGAGTGGTATTTGGCATATATATATAGATATATTGATTGTGTATAGGAAAATAAATTTGTTTATCCGAAATTCTTTTATGACTGTTACACGAATAAAAAGGTTTAACATTTTTTAATGTAATTATTTTTAGCATAAATCTATAAACTAAGTTAGTTAGTTTATAGGTCTATGATTATCGGTTAATATACGATCAGGGTAAAATATATTTTAATTAAAATACGTTCCTAAGCGGCTAAATTATTTTCTGTTTAATTATTTCCGATTATTTTTTTGAATTATTAAATATGTTTCTATATTTTATACTAAAAGAAATAAGAAATTTTACTCTAATTATACGAGTATAGACTATAGGTACATAACACCTATAAATTGTTTTTCGATTTTGTCGAAGGTTTTGGGGACGGGGTACGTGCGTGAAGTATCAAAAAAGTGTTTTCCCCTTGAAAATAATAACAATAACAATCTTTATGAGGTGGGTCGAGACGTTGTTCGCGGATAACGTTACAATAGTTATATGGCTCGCCCGTTTTTAAGTATGTTAGTGCCCCCGTCGGCGGCGGTAACGTAAGTAAAAACAACGCGCCCGATACTATTATTACGCGGGTCGTGGACGTAAACGATTGACGTCCCGTCCCGCGGTACCAATGGATGTTTCGTGTACGCTACTGCGGATGTCCCGCCGCGACTGCCGTATACGTGCACGCCCGCGTTCGTCACCTCGCCGTGGGACTCCGTATCGCGGCAGACCGTTTGGCGTATAACGACACTGTTATTTGGACGCGTTTATATAATAATATTGCACAAAGGTTACTATATTATTATTATGTGATTTTTCGGTGCTTTTGCCGCCACCGCCATAGTTTTTAAGCTTACGCCGAGGTCAAAACTATTTCGCGTGCGCGCGAGTTTCCCGATCGGCCGATATTGTTATTGTATTGTCGGGGAGCAAACGAAATTGACCCGTCGCCTTCTAATGGTTAGGTTAAAAACGTCCGCGCGCCGGAGAATTTCATACTTAAAATGTGTACCTCACAGTGCCGAAAAACTAATAAAAAAACAATATTAAAAAGACGGACATACATCGCACGTGGATGCAACCACTGTTGTTTGTAGGAAGTTGGGAAGGTATCATACAGACGGGAATTTAATGTATATCTGTAAGCTACGATAA